CTCCTTCACCCTAAGCTGTTGGCTCAGGCTGTGCAGCCCTCACAGACCTGCCCCATGTGTTTGCAGGGTGCTTGTCCAGCTTCCTGGCACTGACCAAAATCCAGGCTTTGGTCTGTCTTGGAGAACTATGTAGGCATGTTGCTTGGGCCAAAAGGGGCTTTGTTTCTACTAGTTTCTCTCATCTCCAGCACAATATCCTGGCTGTGGTCTTTGCTTTGATATTTTTTTCCTCCTTTCTCCTGATTCTAATAAGAATTTAAATCTGCTCTTAACTCACATTTCATCTTACAGCCAGGTAAGTAACTGAGCAGGGTTGAGAGACTGAGTCATTTGAAAACCCAGGGGTTTTTTTATTTTGTTTTATTTTATTTTGTAGGGTTTTTTCCTTTAGTTTGCAGGTTAGACTTTCTATAGTCACAACATCAGAAGCAAATAGAACTCTCTGGAAGAACTTATATCAACAGAATATGAGATGTTAGGACAGGTCAGTTGGCCTCTTCCAGAATCAGAGGCAAACAGAGCTCTCTGGTGTCACAGAACGTGGTGGAGGGACACAAACGTCCCCAAGATCCCATTCATTTCAAATGAGTTTGAAGGGAAGAGGCAGCTGAAGTAGCTAAAAGCAAATGTTTTTAAAAATAAGTGAAATGAAACACCCTGACATGGCAAGGCTCACCCGTGAAACACAAACCTGCAAGAATTAGGGGTGGCACATCTTTCACACTGAAACAGCTGCTCTCAATTTGCTCATTTCTTTTTTTTTTTCCCTCCTCCTGTTTTTCTACTTTGCATTCAACTCACCTGGTGTCCCCTCTGCCCTGTTTGCCCACGGTGAGACCAGTGAAAAGACCAGCTTCTTGCTGTGAGCTTTGTGCCCAGCCATAGAGCAGCTGGGAACATCCCTGTCCCCCACTCTCAGGGCACTGAAGCCTCTGCTCTCAGCCAGTGGGGACAAACCTGTGCAAGGCAACAGGCATGATGGAAGAAGTAGGAATGCTCCTGGACTTCTGGTGAAAAACTCACAGCTCTCTGAAGCATCTTTGCTGATGGTGTCTCTGTCTATCTGGCAAAGTTGTAAGTAGGGTATGTACAACTTACTTGGCTATGGAAAGGCCCAAGGAAAATAGTGTAATAGCCACAAAAGTGGGAGAGATGTTGGGGTGGTCAGGAGAGAAAGGAGCCTGGGCTGTCAGGGGTATGAGGTTTGATACAGGAGATTTCCTGTCCTATTGCAGTTTATTTGGGGAGAGCCAACAGGGTCCTGGCTGAGCAACACAAAAACCGGTTGACAGAAACAGACCCTCACCTCTCCACTGGTGTTCTTGGTTGTTGGAGAGGTGCAAATTAAGTAATGGTAAGTTTCTTACCAGCTATTACTTTCTGTGAGTGTCAGAGTTGTGGAAAGTTTCATGCTTCCAATAGATATTCCAGGCTGAAATGAGTCACAAACTGGAGAGTACTCTGAAAACATTTATTCATCCTTCTGAGCCAGCTGGAACAACTTCTCCAGCAGGGACCAGCCCATTTCACTGTGATTTCAGGACTTCATGAAATGTCTTTAAAATTCTTCCAGAGGAGCATATTTCACATAGCTAAATTTCAAACTTGGTTTGAAAAAGCACATCAGAATGTTTTGTTCCAAAATGGTGAACACAGGACACAACTGTCAGGATTTGTTCTTTGTCATCTTAATCAAAATGGAGTCAAAACTGATTTTAAAATAACTGTTACCAATTTAGAGGGAGGACAGTTTGGTTATAGAAAATTTCTGTCAACACCCAGCCTGCTTGAGAGCTGATGGAGCATGATGAGAGTACATCAGTGCAGTTTTGCTTTTGCAAGCAAAGATAGTGCAGCCTGTGCTGGAGACAGGGCTGGGACTGTCTGAGTGGGCCTAAGTGCCTTTTTTTCTGTGATGGTTCAAAGTGAAGGAGATCTTGTGGGTGCCACAATGAATTGAAAATGAAAGGCTTGGGGAAGCGTGGCTGGAAAGTGTCTGGCAGAAAAGGACCTGGGAGTCCTAATTGACAAGCAGCTGAGTATGAGCCAGCAGTGTGCCCAGGTGGCCAAGAAAGCCAATGGCATCCTGGCTTGTATTAGAAATAGTGTGACCAGCAGAAGTAGAGAGGTGATTGTCCCCCTGTCCTCAGCACTGGTGAGGCCACACCTGGAATATTGAGTCCAGTTTTGGGCACCTCAATTCAAGAGAGATATCGAGGTGCTGGATTGAGGACAGAGGAGGCAACGAAGCTGGTGAAGGCCCTAGAGAATCAATCTTATGAAGAACACTTGAAGGACCTGGGAATGTTTAGTTTGAGAAAGAGAAGGGTGAGGGAAGACCTCATCACTCTCTACAACGACCTGAAAGGTCATTGTAGAGAGGTTGGTGCTGGTCTCTTCTCACAGGTAATTAGAGACAGCCCAAGAGGAAAGGGCTTCCAGCTGCAACAGGGGAGGTTTAGACTGGACATTAGGAAAAAAAGTGTTCACAGAAAGAGTGGGTAGACACTGGAATTGGCTGCCCAGGGAGGTGGTTGAGTCACCATCCCTGGATGTGTTTAAGGGTCGTTTGGATGTGGTGTTGGCGGATGTGGTTTAGGGGAGAATTTGTAGAGTAGGGATGATGGTTGGACTCGGTGATCCTAAGGGGCTTTTCCAACCTGAATAGCTCTATGATTCTACGAAATCCCAGATCAGCCACTCCAGGCTGGCTCTTCTTGTGCAATCATCTTAGCTGCACTGGGGAGTTTGACTTTGGACCTAGATCATTTTATTGCAAAACCACTCTACTTGGCCACTGTTGTTTGGTGCCCACCACTGCAATGGGGAGGACTGACCAACTGACCTGTGAGTCAGACAGGTCTGTCTCCTCTGCTATGGACTTGAGATTTGACTTGGAACATCCCTTTCTTCCTTTCAGTTTCCCACAGGGACACTGGTCTTCTCGGCAGATTTTTCTTCCCATCACCCCTTGGTCCCTTTTGCCTAGATGTGGGTCCACAAAAAGCCATCCACTGTGATCCAGCCCACCCACCTCCATGTAGGTGCTCCCTTCATGGCAGGAACTCTTTGATTTCATATGACTCTTGGAGTGCCTCAGCAGGTCTACTCGAAGGGTGAAAAACAGGTTTGGATTTTGAAACCATCCCAGTCCTGAGCATGAATTCAACCTCCACTCCCTCTGGTCACTCCCTGCTGTCTGTGTCCCTGCTGTGGCAGGAGCTGTGGGGCTGCCCATGGCCATGCCATGCATGGCTTGGTGGTGGCCAGAGGGGCCATGCCTCTGCTTCGTGAAGGAGGTGGAGATGCTTGCACACTGGTAAGGAAAAGGGCTTCCTCAGCAGCATCCGGCCACCTGGAAATGCAGCTGCACCTGCTGAGAAATTTGCCCTTTGAAAACTGCTAAGTGGGCCAGAGATAACTGGCTCTGTCTCCGTTAAACATTTGCTGAGTGTCTAAAGGTCCCAGCACACCAGCAGGTGTGGGAAGCCAGAGCCCTGACACTTCCCAGCGCAGGGGAAAAAACCTCCCACGTCTGCTCATCCTGTCGCAGGGGTTGTGTTGCTGTCATGTAGGCAAAGAGCCCACCTCTGCTTCCCTTGCAAGGATTCTTAGAGGCTGGGAGAGGGCTGGGTGGTGCTGCACGCTGACCCTGCCCACGTGCACCTTCCAGAGGCAGCACCGTGGGGCAGGAGCTGGAGGGGCTGCAGGCAAGTCCCCAAGCCTCAGCTCCTTAGATGAGGAGGCATCCTCTGAGCAAGGGTGCCACTGAAAGGGAATGCAGTAAAAGGCCAGCTTCATTTGTTACCATTTAGCTAATTGCTGTCAGCTCCAGGCTATTTCTTAGTAGATGCCAAAGAGTCCTTCATAAATTTGCAGTTAAGAGCAGAGAGAAGAGCATTCCATACTGACTCAAATTGTTACAGAAAACAACAGTGAATTCCTACAACCACCAAGAATGGATGACAGATGAAACATCAAGCATTAGAGGACTACCTAGCCCTGATGGGAGAAGGCTCTTCACCTTCCTTTCCAGAGGAAGCTCTAGGCTCTGTTAGAGCAGCATCAGGTTCTGGGCCTCTGGCCATCAGGTGTAACCTTGCCAAGTTTTGTGATGCACAATCTAGCTGCTCAAAAACTGTTTTCAAGACGGGATCCACAGGAGGACCCACCATCCAGAACCAGAAGAGAAGATCACAATCAGACCATGGCATTAGTTTTGGAGCTGACGTTGCCTGGGTTGTTACCTTCAGCTCATGGTTCTTGGTGTGTCGCCTTCAGCTCATGGCCAGTGTGTGGTTCTTGTGTGCATGTAGTGAGAGGAATCTGTGCTGGAAAGACCTCAGACACCAGCTGTCCTGGTGTCAGTTGGAAACAGTTTTCTTCTGGCCAGCAGCTCTGGGATTTTCCATTTCCAAGGCAATATCAGCGTGCTCTGTCAGGGCGTGGAACCGCCTCTCCTGCTGGTCTGAGCAGACATCGTGGCCGTGCTGAGCCCTGTCCCACAGGCCTCCTGAAACAGCCTCTGGCCATGCTGGGGCCAGCACAGGCTGAGGGAGCAGTGAGCAAGTGGGTATCCTAGAGCATCACATCCTCTCATCCCCGTGTCATTTCAAGCTGTTTTTTCCCCTTCTCCCATTGTCCTCTCTGACTATGCAGGAAATAGGAGAGCAGCTACTTCCTCTCTTCTTTTGTTCAGCTGATCCCACAGCCCTTCCTTCCCAGTGGACAACTTCCAGCAGTCAAGAAAACCTCTATAAAGCCAATGCCCCAAGGTTCACTGGCCAAACTTCACCTCTCCTATTTCCTGGTTAATCATTCTCCACTGCAAGTTCCACTGAAGGCAGCTCTGCAGGGATCAGCTTTGGACTTACAAGCTGTTTGCTGACCCCAGGAAGCGGTGCTGGGAGGAAGTACAGGTCTGGGAAGGCAGGGAAGGTCTCCTGCTCCTGCCTTGCTTTTCTTTCTCACTCCATCCTTGGAGATCAGAAGGCCTGGTTATGATCCAGCAACAGCTGAGACAGCTCCTGCCAGAGAGGGAGGTGGATCCCCACGCTGCCCTGGCCCTGCTGGGCAGCTCGGTGGCTGCCGTGGTGGTGTGGAAATGGCTGTGCAAAAGGCAGATCCAGAAGAAGATGGAAGAGGCTCGGAGGACCAGGGATGAGGGTGTGAAGAAAATAGCAAAGGCTGTCCAGCAGTTCAGGAAGCAGGTAACTTTCCTTCTGGGGGGGGGTCTGAGTCCCACTGGGGTGTCTGCTTGATGTTGTTCTTCAGCTCTGCTTTCCAACTCACACTGCCATAGCTTTTGTAATGCAGAGTCCAGGGGAGATGTGCCAGCAGCCCTCAACCAGAGGAGAGGCTGCCTTGGGAGGAAGGGAGGTCACTGCTCTCCTCAGGCCAGATGAGATGTGGTGGGAGTCTACAGCCAGGGAGCTCCCACCTTCCCTCACTGGGGAGAGGTTTTGGACAACACAGGTGATGAAGCATTGGACCTTCATTGATCCAGAACCCAATTATTTCAGGGTCTAGAAATGTCTCCTGCCACCATGGGTAGAAGCAAGAAAGTTTTTTCCTCTTCCTACTCTAAGTTTATACAACTGTACATACCCTTATATCTTTGTGTCTAAAACCTGGCTCCTGGGTGGCTGCTGGAGAGTCTTCCAAAGAGCCTTCACTTGACATCCCAGCAAGTGAGACCTCCCAGCCCCACAGGCTGCCCAGAAGAAGTTTGGCCTAACTTAACAGTACTGAAGAAAAAGGGCATTCAGTGTCCCTCTTAAATGTACATATCTATAGATATGATATATAACCTTAAAAAATTCTGGTGGCACTAAGAACTGCCAGTTGTTTCCACCCGAGTAGACTTTACCCACCTGGGAGTCCCAACTTAGTTCTTTGCAGCGTGCTGGGCTTGACTATTAGATGTTGGTCCTCAGACTGGGCTGACCCACTCTGCCTGTGCCTGTTCTGAGGGGTGAAGGGCCAGCCTGAGACTTGTGTGTGCAAGGACTTTGGTACCTTCTGCCTGGGCTGGTGTTTGCTCATCTGAGATTACGTCTTGGTCGGTGGGTAGGTCCCACAGTGCCAGGCTCTGATGTGAGTTATTGCCTTATCCCCTGCTGCAGTGGATGTATGAAGATCTTGTACATCTTCAGAGACAACTGGGCTCCTGTGTTTGCATCATGTTCATGACATCCAAACTCGGGATGAAACACAGCAGCTCAAGGTCTGAATCCTCACGTGCAGGGTCCACCTTTCCAGCAAGCTCCGTTGATAATGTTGGCAAAATTTTTGAGGCTTACCTCATCTGAGCCAAAGGGTAACTGGACCTGCTGTTGCCTTCATCTTCCACTTGCAGGTCCCCAGTGTCCAGAAGGATGCCATCCTGTCCCTGCCCCTGCTGGAACTCGCTGCAGGACTGCGAGAAGGGGCTCTGTCCCCCAAGACTGTCCTCTACACCTACTTAGAAAAGGTGAGTTCCTGTCTACAGTGTGAGGGGCAAACCACTTAATGTTCTCCATGCATAGTTTGTGGGCTGGTAGCTGAGAAGACTTGTTGGAGCTGATGATTTTGACAAGTCTTCAATATAGCAGACACTGGGAGAAAGATGAAAGAGGCAGGGATCTCTCTGTCTTCTGGGTCAGACCCATCACTGGGCAGTCCTTCAAGGTGGCTTGAGCTCAGGTGCTCTGGGGAGGGGGCTACCACTCACACCAAGCCACTAGCCCTTGTTTTGAAGACCCAGGTAGCCCCTGAATGCAGCTGTGAAATGATGCTTTTATCTAACACCTGTTCCTCCACGTGTCTGGCAAAGGCCCTGGAAGTGACCCAGCAGACAAACTGCTTGAGACATTTTATCCCAGAGTGTGAGGAGCAGCTCCAGGAAATACAACAGCAGAAGGAGAAAGGGCTGCTCTATGGCATCCCCATCAGCATCAAGGATCACATTGGCATCAAGGTACTTCCCTCTGTGCCCCTGAAGTGTCCCATTGTGAGCTGGGCTGCATCATGAAGTGGTGGGACACAGAGAATGGGGAAGGGGCCTGATCCCTTCCTGCTCACACCATGGGGAGCCTGGCTGGGTCTGAGGTTGTGGCCCCATGGCTCATTAAAGCTGCAACCCTGGCAGTTAGAAGCCTCTGTCAGCAAAAAAATAATGGGTGAATAGTTATACACCCAAATTATTTCTTCTCTCATATGTGGACAGCACAGGCTGGGCATTTGGGCCATAACTCAGACTTCTACTCAGAGGTTTGCAGTAGCAGGGATAAGAACATGGCTCAGCTTCTAGAAAATCATTAGCAGCAGGACATTAACCTTGAAACCCTGTTGTGCTGTAGCCTGGCCACCAAGCTCCTTAGCAAAGAGCCTGTGCATTAGAAGCACCAGAGACCCCTTCCTAGAGAAGCCCAGAGGAAGGTGGACCACACAATCCTGAGCTGGATTCATTGGGCAGTCACCTCCATCTTGCCTTACCAACACAGTTAAGAGGGCTCCAAGCCCAGAGCAAGCCTCAAACAACAAAACTAACTGAAAAAGGATCACAAGGTGTTTGCTTGAGGTTTCCTCCCTGAACATCCACTGGTGGCTTTGCCTGGACAGCAGGATGTTGGGTTTGATGCTGAGCTAGTGCACCTGCAGAAATGCATCTGTGTCAGGTGAGAGAAATACCAAGGACAGCTTCAGGAGAAGCTTCAAGTGCTTCGTAAGTGTTTGGCAGACCTTTGCCAAGGATGGAAGGAAAGGGAGTCCTCAGCCCTTCATGTAAGGGAGTTGGTTAGTACCTCTCCCTGCAAAGGGGACACAAGATCATCCTTCTAAAACTGCAAAGCAACTGTGCTGACCATGTCCATTGTCACTTCTCTCTGCAGGGGCATCTATCAACCTGTGGGCTTGTTCAGTGCCTGGACACTCCTGTGCAGGAGGACAGTGTCCTAGTCAAGGTTTTGAAGAGACAGGGGGCCATCCCATTTGCAGTGACCAACGTGCCACAGTCCCTCTTCAGGTAACATATATCATTAGAAATCTTTCCTCTGGTTGTGTTCCTGAAGCTAAAACCCAGCCTGTAGGTCCAGGGTCAGGCTCCTTCCTGTCTCCTGGACAAGTTTCTCTTCCATCAGCTGCCAACAATCTCAGTTCAAATGAAAATAGCTCTCAGGTAAGATTAAAAGGGAAAAAACCTTACCTTGAGATAAGAGAAATTAAATACCCTTGTGCATGGGAGGGAGGAGAGTGGAGGCTCATGGGAATGAGCCACATCCCAAGGGATTTATGGAAGGATGTAGTTGATTGTGCCACATAAGCTCACTGCAAGGGAGAGTCAACAAACCCAAGGCATTAGGCTGTTCCTGAGAGCTCACTTACTCGTTTTCTTCTCCCCAGCTATGACTGCAGCAATCCCATCTTCGGGCGGACCTTGAACCCTCTCAACCCCCAGAAGAGCCCAGGAGGCTCCTCAGGAGGGGAAGGAGCTCTGATTGCAGGGGGAGGCTCCATCCTGGGCATCGGCTCGGACATGGGGGGCAGCATCCGCCTGCCCTCCAGCTTCTGCGGGCTGTGCGGGCTCAAACCCACAGGCAACAGGCTCAGGTAGGTGCTGGGGTCTGCCTTCCCACCCTGCCTGGGGCCTGCTCACTGTCCAGCTCAGCTGAAGGGGCCAGGTGCTCAGTGAGCATCTGTCAGGAAAAGAGAGGACAGGTTCTTAAAGGCTGCCTTGCTTTGCTCCCAACTTCTCCTGAGAGGCAGTGTCGTTGGGTTTTGTGGAGAAATGGCCACGTTCCCATTGTAAATCTGGCCTGTTGTTAAAAGGAGAATGAGACTGTGAGGTTACATAAAGCCAAAATCACAGCATTGTTTTGCTTGGAAAAGACCTTTAAGATCATCAGGTTCAACTGCACTAGCATCAACTATCACTGCCAAGTCCAGCACTAACCCACATCCCCAAGCACCGCATCTAATGTTTTAAACCCCTCCAGGGATGGTGACTCAACCACTTCCCTGGGCAGCTTGTTCCAATGCCTGACAACCTTTTCAGTGAATAAATTTTTCCTAATATCCGATCTAAACCACATCTAAGACCACATCTGGAGTATTGTGCCCACTTTTGGGCTTCCAGGTTCAAGAGGAATAGGGACATACTGGAAAGAGTCAAATGGAGAACTATGAGGATGATTAAGGAACTGGAACATCTGTCATATGAGGAAAGGCTAAGAGACCTGGGGCTGTTTAGTCTTGAGAAGACTAAGAGGGGACCTTATTAACGTCTATAAACATCTGAAGGGTGTAAGTCAGGAATGGGCCAGTCTCTTTTCAGAGGGGAAATGGCACCAAGTTGCTACACAGGAAGTTCCACCACAACAGGTGGTGGAGGTGCTGCAGCAGGGGGGTTGGACTTGATGATCTTCAGAGGTCCTTTCCGACTCCTAGGATTCTGTGGTTCTAAATCTCCCCTGGTACAACTTGAGGCTGTTTCCTCTTGTTCTGTCACTTGTTTCTTGGGAGAAGTAAAATGGAACATTTTATGTTCAACCAAACCCAAGATTTGTTGAAGTTTAGATGTGGTTTGTATTGCTTGTTTGTTGTTCATTTTGACCAAAGTTTCTGTTTCACATTCCTTAAATAAAATACTTTAAATAATTTCCTTCTGGGTCAGGTCCTGAACTGAAGACTCCACTGTTCTATTCAAACACATTGGGAATATCTCACCACTACTGAAATTACAATATTCCTTCTTTTTTCTTTTCCCACAGCCTGTCTGGAACAATTGGCCCAATCAATGGGATTCTGGCAGGTACATTAATTTTTAATTGTGGTTTTTTTTATATGCTTTGAAGAGTTTTATGTCCTCCTCCAGACCTGAGGAAAGCTGGGACAACCAAGATCTGTCCAGAGTCCACCTGAAACATCCCACCTCATTGCCCAATCATCCCTTGCAATCAACATGGTCACGTGGAGGGGCAGACCAGTGTCTGGTGCACCCATTTGCTTATTGTGGACGTTTGTTCTCATCTCACCCCAGTTTCTTGTGCGCTGGGGCCGATAGCGAGGGATGTGGACAGCCTGGCCCTGTGCATGAAGGCCCTGCTCTGCCAGGAGATGTTCCAGCTGGACCCCACCGTGCCCCCCATCCCCTTCAATGAGGAGGTAAGTCCTCTACTCTGCAAGCTCTGGTTCTTTTGAGGCATTCTCAACGTATGCATCCTTTAAGGGTTCGTTTATCTTTATAGCACTGGTTTCCAGTAACTTGTTAGTTCTCTTTCAGGGCACAACTCATTATCCTTTGAAAATAATAAGTTAGTAAATAGTTATCCTTTCTGCCTTCTCAGTTGGCATATTGTTTATCAGATTAAGAGAGCCCAGAAGAGAATGGGGAAGAAGGCAACAGCAGGAGCAAAAAGCTGGAGATTTTTAGGGGAAGATGAGACAGGATCAGAAACTCCAGCAAATCTCTTGACTGAGGTCACTTCCCTTCCCTGTGCAGCAGAAGAACGTCAGGAGGTTTTTCCACCTCCGTCCTTTGTAGCTATGGTTGACTCTACTGGTCTTAAGTAGCTTCACCCTATCTGAAGGGAATGCTAGAGAAAAGGCAGGGGTGGACATTTGGAAAGGGCAACCTATGGAAAGCATAAGCAGCAAACTAGAAGGTTAGTTACTCCTTAATGCCTGGAGCTTTCTTCTCCTCCTGCAGTGGGCTCCAGCATGGGGACAGCCCTACCCCCAGCAGGGTTGGAAACACTTAACTGCTGTCCCTTTGCTCCAGGTGTACTCCAGCTCTGCTCCCCTGCGGGTTGGGTACTACGACACGGATGGCTACTTCCCACTGCCCCCCTGTGTGCGGCGAGCGGTGCAGGAGACCCGGGTGGCTCTGCAGGCAGCCGGGCACCAGGTGAGCACAGCCACCCCATGCTCTTCTCCCTGAGGTGTCCCCAGCTTTGCTTCTCGCTGTTGAAATCGCCCTGCAGAAACTAGGCACAGTTCCTCAACCCAGCCGTGGGATAAATGACCTTCCAGAGGTAGGAGGTGAAGTTACCGCAGACACACAGCTACCTGGGGCAGCAGCGCAGCTCATGGGGGGGCAGCAGTGCAGCTCATGGGGAAGCAGCACGAGCAATTAGCAAACTTGTACCTGCAAGGGGCCAGGGGTGTAGAGAACCCATCTCAGATCTGGTGGCTGTGGTCCAGACCAGACAGCAGCATCCAGAAAGTCTGCATTTGACCCTGGAAGGTTGCCCTGGCATTTTCTAGGTCTGTCCTTCCCCAGCAAGACTCTGAAAGGTGGTTTTCTCTTTCTTCCTCCGTGCCCATGGAGACCTCTGTCCTTCCTGGGCCACTGAGGGAAAAGGGCCACCAGGCACAGGATGGGAAACACCTTTTCTTCCATGTGCAGACATGCTAGTGGTGCTCTTCATAGGCAAGTGAGTTCAAGTCTGAGAGATGCCAGTTCTGCTGGGATGGGTGGGAATCTAGTGCAGTTTGTGGCTCAGTGATTGCCTGGAGCAGGATAGAGGAGGAAACAGCTCAGAGCTAAACAGCTGTCAGGGAAAAATAATCCCATGGGAAGATGCCAGGGAGGAATGATCCCATGCCCTGAGATGTGTGGGCAGAACCCAGGGAGGTGCTGCTCTGCCTTTTAAAGTTCATTCACAGTCGGGCCTTGGCAGTTATTCACACCCTCCACTTAATCATGTGTTTTGGTGCAGCTGGTGCCCTTTTCTCCACCCCGGGTCCATTATGTCATGACTGAACTCTTTTTGAAGACCTTTTTTGCTGATGGAGGCCGTGCTTGGTTGGATGTGTTGTAAGTAGGAGCCCTTTGGCAGCAGTGCTGTAGAACAACTCCATCCACATGCCCATGGGCACCACACACAGGCAAAGTGAGCCCACTTCTCCCAACCCTAACTAGAGACACTCGGGTTTCTCAGAAAGTGCAAGCGGCTTCTCTGGCATGATCCCTTCTTGTCATCTCTCAGCACAGGAAATATTGTAGATCCAAGCTTGAAATCACAGCTGAGTTGCTTCAAGATCCCAAGGCTGGTGAAGAAGATGCTGGCTCTGATTCTTAAACCTTTGGTGAGTCCCTGGCTTTAGGCTCAAGGCAGTGGTGTCGAGATGCTTGAAAGTGTGATGGTACTGAGAGATACCTTTAAGGAGAAACACTGGGATTTCAGGCCAAGGGACATGCTATCCCTTTGGAAGGTCTTTTCTACAGCCCTGTTGGGATTTATCCAATGCAAAGGGAAATGAGAGATTGACTTGCCAAGAGCTGTGAAAGATTAATGCAGAGCCTACAACAAGTGGTTCTTCAAACACTAGACCTAGCAGTGCCCAGTGTCCTATAGATTCAAGCGTTGGGATTACTGCAGCACAGGGACTGGAGGTTGAAGCTCTAACCTTGTGTCGGAGGCCTCCCAAAGTCATCCCTTCATGGGAACTCCTGGTGATTAGTAAGGACTGGTCCTCACTGTAGCCCTTTCACCAGCTGAGCATCCTTTTTTGGGGCTTCTCTCCTCCAGCCCCCATTTTCTGTCTCTCTGTCCAGCTGGGTTGCTCCCAGCTGACAGGATCAGAAAAGCAGCAGTGAGTGGGAGGCAAAGTGCTTGCAGAGCTAAAAAAAATGTTTCATTTTCAAAAATAATGAAAGGTGACTGGGTTCAAGCCAGTGAGCTCCTCTGTGAGCAGGAAACATTGGGCTGTAAGAAACAAATTGGGAACCAACAACCAGAAGTTGGAAGCAAAGTAAATTATGAACCATGAGGAGCATCTTTAATCATTCACCCTGAGTGCAGCATCCCCAGGGACAGAGGCAGGATGGGATGGGGGGTTCCCAGGATGGCACAAGTTACTGCACCCCCAGGTCATGGCCCTAACAGGAACCTCTTGCCTTTCCAGTTTCCTCGCCTGGCTGACTATCTGAGCAGCCTGAGTGGAATGAGGTAAGATGACCTTTCCCCCAGGGATGTCCACGGAAATGAAAGGTACATTCTCCTCTAAGTGTCCATGGTGGGGTGGACTGGATTCACGACAGGGTCTGACCTGCTCTCTACAAGGGCTGTGCTTCCATCCTGGACACAGCTCCAGCCTTTAGGAACACATCTCCCCAGTGTCACCCTGAAAGGACTGAGACATTCGGATGAATAAGGTCATATAGGAAGACTGTGGCACAGATGAGCCACTAAATCCAGACTCCTTTCTACCACTTTCAGACATTTGTGGCATAATTTCTTGGCCAAATGCCAAAGGAAAATTTAGACAAACTGAGAAAGATTTACTGTTTCAGGTAATAGCTAAAACCACCAGGGATGATCCACCTGGAAGGTTACTTAAGCAGTTTCTCCTCCTCTTAAAGCTTAAAAATGTTGTCATTTCCATTTGCAGGTCAGTGAAGGAGATGTGGAATCATCACCATCAAATAGAGGTATGTTTTGAGGACTTTTCTCTCATGGTACAAGTTGAGGTTTTATGGCAAGTGCCAGGCTGGATGTTCATCAGTCAGGAAAGGGTTTGTGCAGGGGGGTGCTGGAGGGGAGACAAGATGGAGGGAAAGGCACAAAAGAGAAATAGGAATGTGGTAGATGGGACTTTGGGTCAACCCAGCCAGGACTTTATTCGTTGCCCACATTGCACATGCCCAAATGTCCACATTCAACTCTCAGCACAACAGAGGCTGCCCTGGAGGAGGACAACTAAAGGGGAAGCCTTCCAATTCCAGCCACAGTCCAGTCACATGCTATGGAGGCAGACACTTATATGCTGCCCTGACTCTTCCCTTGAGCACAGCTGCCTTCTGCTGCCTCCCCGGCCATGCCAGAGCCTGGTGCATGTCCTAGAGAAGCTGAGATGCTCCAGGCATGGACATGGCCTCCATGTCATCTCCCCTCTCCTCCCCAAGACATACCGTGCCGAGTTCATCGCCCGGTGGAGGGAACTCCAGCTGGATGTTGTGCTGTGCCCTGTCCTGGGGCCTGCCTTCACCGTGGGATACCCTGGGAAACTCCTCAGTAAGTGAGTCTGGAACCTTCCTGGGTGGGCAGTGATTGAGATTGAACAGAATCATTCACTACCATGGAGCTTCACACCCCACCCAAACACTTCATGGGCATTAGGGAGGAAAAATATCTACTATAAACCTATGTGAGCAGACAGAGACTGACATATAGATGCAGTGATCTGGTAGCAGTTGTTTCTTGCAGCAGAACTTGGACCTGCAGACAACCAGCCCAGTGCAATCTCTCCTCCCAGCAGCAGCTGGTTCTCAGGGGGTTCAGTTAACATGTGTTAGGAGGCTGTGACTATCTGCATTCTCTCTTCTGCTTCTCTCAGCTGCCATCTCCTCCACGATGCTGTACAATGTCTTGAACTTCCCTGCTGGGATTGTACCTGTCAGCAAGGTGACAGAAGCCGATGAGGAAGAGCTAAAGCTTTACCAAGGATGTTGTGATGATGCCTGGGATCGGACACTGAAACAGGTATGTGACATGGAAAGTGGTTGAGCAGAGACTGCTGATGGATGATCAAGCAATAGCTTCACTGAAATCAGGGGCTCCTAAATGTCTCCATCAATATGATCAAAGTTCCCAAAAATCCGCCTCTTATATATCCCTTGCAAATCCCTCTTCTCCTGAGCCCAACAAAACATAAATCACTAAGGACTGGAGAGGGTGACTAGTGGAGCACTCCCAGGCTGGATTACAGGATGAAACCAGAAAGGAGCCATGCAGCAAGGCTTCTTTGAGTAGGTCCTTGTGGTAGCCCACAACACTGCCCTCTCCTCCTAAGGATGCTGAAGGAAAAGGGATCTGGCTGCAAGACAGCCCAAAGCAGAGCTGGCTAGAAAGTTGGGGCTGGGGGGGGAGTGTGTGTCTTAACCACACTGGCCAAGTTTAGGCAACCATTTTTATCACAAGAACAGCAAGAGCCCTCCTGCTGCCCCAGTACACCATGGCTGCTTGAATGGCAGGGCTCTGCCTCCACCCAGGATGAGCTATGTGCCTAAATCAAGTTTCCAAAAGCTGCTGGAGACCTGAGCCCCCTGGATAACCCCTCACCTCTTGTGTCCCCGCTGCAGGCTGTGGCAGGAGCTGTGGGGCTGCCCGTGGCCGTGCAGTGCGTGGCACTGCCCTGGCAGGAGGAGCTGTGCCTCCGCTTCATGAAGGAGGTGGAGACCCTCAGCAGCAAGAAGAGAGCAGCATAGCTCCACCATCCCACCCTTGCAGGATCACCAGTGAGGCCCAAGCGACAGCACTGTGTGACCTCCCTTCTGCAACTGGCCGTGCAGGGGTTACAGCAAGGAGGGGGGGAGGGAAAAGCCACTGCCTGACTATCCCCCATGCCAATAAGCACAGACCCTGTAAGGAACCAAGATGCCATGCAGAGGGAAGGACTGGCTTAAACTGTGTGCATATGATGGTAAATCTATCGACTGTACCTTCCTGGAAGGATGGATGTGGATGGGGGTTTACCCTCACTGTCATCCATGCCACCTCTTGCAGAAGCAGGGGGAGGTGGAGAGAAAAGGATTACCAAAGCTCTACAGTATTTTCTTGCTGGGACTGGAGTAACCTCACACAGATGTAACTATGGGCTGCCCTGTAAGGAAGACAGCCATGTCTACCCTTCCCAACACTGTAGTTTGCTCACAAAAAATAAAAATGCAGCTATTAAGCAACTCTTACCATAAACTCCAGTAACCCTTCACTGATAGCTGTGATTACATGAATGCACACCTATTACTCAAAACCATAGACACCTTCCCATGAAATGGCATCCTTCACACACCCTTCTCAACCACAGCTTCCCTGACCCTGAGGGAGAGCAACAGTCACTGGCCTTTCTACAGCAACCAGCTCTTTCCACCACCAGATCTTGAGCATCCCAAGCACATTTCCAACCTTACAGCTGGAGCATTTTTAAAAAACCTCTTATTTCAGGACCTCAGGCTGCCCTTTCTGAAGGTAGGAGATAAGTAGAGACAGATGCAATTTAATTATGCAGATGGTGAGATCTGGGACAGAAAGGCTGAGATCCCCAGATGGTGTTTGTTAATCCAAACCTGCTCATGTAGGATCAAAGCAGTCAGACAGGAGAGCAGCATCCACACAGGGCCATTTACCCTGTCCTGAAACAGATGGATAAATCACTTCCTCTGGTAAGAACTCTCTTGCTTTCCTAAATTAAACACCTCAGTCTCAAACAAATAAATATGCAGGAGACTCGACAGCAGCTCTTTCTCATTCATTCTCTATCTCTGCAGTAAAAAAAACCACTTTCTTTAGGGCATTTTAAACAGACAAATAAATAGAAAGCAGTTTTGCATTCCCTGGAAATGGGGGGTATTTCCTGAAAGGCAGCAGACATCATCTGTCACCCCAGCTACAGCCGCCGTAATTTGCAGAAATACATAGGTCCAAAGTTGGCTGTGAGGTGAGGCAGAACAAGCTCCCCCACCCGGCAATCTGAGAAGAAGGAAAACGTGTCCTGGAAGAGCATTCTGAAATGACTCAAGTCCTGGATGTCCATACTGATGTTAAACTCAGTCTCTGCAACATCTACCGCTCTCTCGATCACGTACTCGTTCTGCAGCGGGGAGAGGGAGCATGTAGAATACACCACCTCTCCCCCTGGCTTGGTAGCCAGGATCCCAGCCCTGTGGGCAAGATGAGAACACACACACTGTCATGGAAAGATGAGGACTGTGTGGGACACCAGCTTTTCCACCTCCCACCCACTGAAATTTGCAAGCCAGCACATAGTTCATAGCAGGTGAGAAATAAATCCCCTTGAACTCCACAGGCCCAGCAGTCTCACTGTGTCACTGCAACCTCAGGACTTTTTAGACCAGGATGATATGGGTCAAATAGATGCTTAACTTAAGTAAATAACTTAACATGGGAGAGACACTACTGGAGAGCAGCTGGAATGAGTAACCCTGCACTCACCTCCAAGGCAATAATGGGATAAGAGTATGAAAAGGGAAAAAAAAGAAAGAGGATCCCATGGTTCATGCACTGCAATGGGACTGCCTAATTGCCCCAGGTCACAGTCAAGTCATTCAGCCTTCCCATCAAAATGGGGTGATGAAGCACCCCCATGTCTTCCCATGTGCTGGGAGATGTGGATGCTCAGGAATCCTCCAGGGCTGACTGCCAAAACCCAGGAGATCATCACACAAAAGCACAAGACTATACCCACCCCATTCCTTAGACCCTCCTCCCTATCTCTCATGGCTTCTGCTGGGGACAGAAAGGACATTTGATCTGACCAAAAAAATCAGCACCTTCTTACACTTATTATGATTTGATGTGTTCTACTATTGTCATTCCAGAAAACTACACATGGATTCCACATCTCCCAGTTGGGGACACAAAAAGTAAAAAAGAGGTTTCAGTGTTGGTCATGGAGAGCTGCTACCCCGACAGAAATAGCACCAAAACACAGCATCGAGCTCACTCACATCAGCAGCTGCAGCTGCAGCATGGGCAACATCTGTCGCTCCTTGGTTCGTCTCTTGTGGAAGATGTTGTTCTCCTCCTCCATAACAGAATGCCTGTCTGTTGTGCAGGGCACATCCACCAGCACCTGTAGCAGCAGAGGTCCTGCATCAGTCCTGGGCCTAGGCCAAGCTCAGCCAGTCCTCTGGTGCAACCTGCCCCTTGCCCAACTACTCTACCTTTGCCAGGCAACAAGTGGCACTTGGTACCTTGCCCAGATGATGCTGCCCAAGCACAGGTCCCTACCCACACTGATCTGAAACTCATCTGGCTGCTTTTGCATTTTGGGAGTGTGCAGACATCGAAATGGTGGATAACATCATGCTCTCACACGTCTTAATTTAATGTTTCTACTCTGTGTATCTTCCTGGAAGGCGTTACTATGGCTACAACCACACATGGCCAGAGTTCCTGCAGTGACACCTCCCAGGATAACAAACCCGGCTCCCATGGCTGGACATGGCTTAGAAACAAGAATTATCTGATCTTCACATTTAAGTCCTTCCAGGTGATGGGTTAGAACATTATTTTTAAGGGCTACTGTGCAGGTGGACAAATGTACTACTCCAAATGCACCAGACCCTGCAGGAAGGGTAAAGCATGAGGAAGTATTACTCCAGATGTGGCTTAGACCTTCTCCTTCTCTGCCTTTAAGATTATGGTGAACTATACAATTACACTGTAGAATAAGCTGCTGTCTTTCTCTGTAACAGGAATAAAGTGACTTAGATGGGTTCATCTTCACCAGCTCCCAATTACCTACCTTATGGAAAGTGCCACCTTCCAGCTGCCCCCAGTCCCTTCCGTCATAGGATGTGATGCTCACAGTTTCTCTGATTTCTTTGGGAACGTAGCTTTGGAGAATCTGGTACAGCCGCTTTGTCCGGGAAACAGAGACATCATTGGCTGCCAGGTGCCCTGAGAGGACAAAACAGGCACACTGGGAATGTCACCCTTGCAAAACCACACCTGATTCCTAACTCTTACAACCAGAAGTGATTAAGGGTCAGGCATTAACAGGCACAACACACTCTTCCAGCTGTGTTTTATGCCCGGGGATAGGGAACACCCACCTCCACTTACCACAAATCCCAGTCTGCAAGAGAGCCAGAGTCTTGCCACCCGGAGCCGCACAGAGGTCGAGGACAAAGTCACCTGGCTGCACGTTGAGTGCCAGGACGGGCAGGAGAGACGCTGCGTCCATCAGATAATAGCTGAGGAGCCCCAGAGTGTCCGGCCTGGAAATCACCAGTTTGCATAACAAAAAGGAAAACGCGTGAGGGGAAAAGAAAACAGCAGTCGGAAGTGAGGATGGGGATGCAGGGAAGCAGCAGGTGCTCACACCCACGCAGCCCCCGAGGCTGGCAAGGGCAGCACCACAGGGGTGTCTGTCCCAGGGATCTCACCAGGCGGGGTGGAAGCGCGTGATGTCACCCCTGGGGAAGGTGTAACACCTGATGTTGGAGCTGAGGGAGGCACAAAGTGGCGGTGACATCTCTGCCTGTGACATGGTGTCTGCCTGCATCCCTGTCCTGCCCTCGCCAGACCCGTCCTGGGACCTGCTTTCCCTTCTCCCTGCTTCCTCCACAGCTGCACCCTGTACCAGTCCCTGCACCTTCCTGGAGGCTTCAGAAACAAAATCAGTGGCACTCAGCAGCTCCAGCTCTTGGGTGACGTGGTCAACAGAAGAGAAGTTGTTGAGGAGGGCACCGTACTTCTGCTCACAGAGCAGGCTGGCACGGACCGAGGGCCACAGGTCCTTGAGCTGCAGGCTGTAGTTCACGTCAAAATGGTGCAGGGCCAGCCGCGTGGCGGGGATGCGGGGGGCTGTGGCAGCCTGGGGGCACAGAAACACCACAGGGGTTAAAGGACAAAACACCGGCACATCCCAGCGCCCATCCCCGCAGCCTCAACATCTGTCTGGGAGAACCCACCGCCGGATTCTGTCCTGTCCAAAGTCACCGGGGGCCTTTTTGCAGCCCTGGAAAGTTGCTGTGCCCCTGCTGACACCCCGAGGCTGGAAGTCTCCTGGGGCAGGACTGGAAATGGCTGTTTGGGGCTGGGGGCTTGGGGGGGGGGCAGGCAGAAAGGGGAGCGGCTCAGTTTGGTGCACGGGGGTGCAAACGGGGAGCAATGGGGTGAAACAGGGAGACTAGGAGGGGTAGGACAGGATACAACAGCAACAAAACAGGGGTAAAATGGGGTGCAAAGGGCGCAACGAGGGGTTGAACGGGGAAACGAGGAGGCACGGGATGGGGAGACAGGCAGGGGTGCAGGAGACGCAGAACTGAGAAAGCGGCGGGAAGGCAGGAGGGGCCGCGGGGGGACAAAGGGGAACGCAAAGGCGGGGAGAAAAGACGGGGTGCGGGTGCGCT